AAAAAGAAATGCATAGTAAAGCGGACTGTGGACTTGGGGGTGGGGATTGTATAACAATGAAATAATTTTTTTTTCCTTCCAAAGAGAAAAAGGAACTGGGGGAGGGGAGGGCAAGGAAGAAAACGTGCAAAAAAGAATGAATGGGAAAAAATTAAATGGGAAGAAAAGGCTGTAAAAAAAATAAACTGGGAATGGATGTCTATTCCAACTCCATCCTGAGCTTTTCACACCCTAACCTTTCCTCCCTTTACTGCACTCCCCTGTGCATGTACACACACACCACACACCACACACACACACACACACACACACACACACCCTCTCTATCTATGAGATTGAGCTAGTGTGTCCCCTGAGCCACACTGGTGGACTTGCAGAGCTCTGTGTAGTCAACACTGCCCCAATGGTAGGGCCTTCCCTAACGAAGCTGGACACCCAGAATCCTCCTGTCCACTGGATTCTATTACCTCAGTGATGGGCTTTAGAACAGTCTGGGCTGTGCCCTACACACACACACACACACACACACACACAACACTGCCTCGTTCCCTCAAGACATCCCAGCCTCTCAACCTCTCTCCAAGTCAACACTCCCTCCACCAGCTTGTTCCATTATCAGAAAGGAGGTTGATGGTCTTTGGAATAAAGTATCATTTCCTTCCTGGGACTGTTTCATGCACATTACTCCTACAGAGTTCAAAGTCAGTGCCAAACTTTCTGCGAAAAGGAGGTTATTCTACCTTTTCTCCTGATTGATTAAAGCTTAGGACTCTGTGGGAGGTCTTGAGTAAAAGGGTTAAGGAAATCAGACCCCATACCGACTGACAGCCCCAAGTGTGCTTCTTCCTCCTCGACTCCAAAGTCGACATTCAAGATGCTTTACTATGAAGAGAAGCCTCAGAAAGCTGTGCCGAAGAAAGATGATCATGTAACTGAGGAAATGTGTCCAAACGTCCCAAAGGGCAAGGGGAGAGGGGGATGGGAGTGAAAAGGGGGGAGGGAGAGTCACCAGGATAGCAGAGGTTAGGGAGTGCATGGGGGTTATGGGAAAGAATAGGTAAAATTTTCTGGGGACTTGAGAAGAGGGGTTAACAACAGGCACAGATCAACAGTGATTAATGATATAAAACACAATGTACAAGCATGATTGTATGGGGGGAAGGACTGTGTAACAATGAAGGAGTTTTTCTTTTCAAGGAGAAGAGTGAATTGGGAGGGACAAGGAGAAAAAGTGCAACAATGAATGACTGGAAACCTTAAGTCTCTATAAACTTTCATTAAAATTAATATTAAAAACAGAATGCATGAAACACAATGTAAATGAAAGACTGGATAAAACACTATATAGAAATGAAACACAACACATAGGAATTAGTGTATGCAAACCAATAAAAATATTGTTGCTGTTGTTGTTGTTGTTGTTGTTAAGTGCCATCGAGTCACAGATAAAAATATTAGGAAAAAAAAACCACAAGACAGATCATCATAGAGGACCAAGTGCGAGAGACTTGGAGAGGTCAGCGGTGCTCCTCCGAGCCTGGCCTCTTCTCCCCTTGCTGTATTGAGCCAGTCTCTGCCCTTCTCTTCACACTCACAGGCCCAGCCAGGGGATGGCCTGTGTTTCCCACAGCCTCACTTCCTCATATCCACCAGTCCTACAATTTTCTGCTAAACATTACCGTTCATACCATTTATACGTAGACTTTACCGTCCTTTGATGACAATGAGGATACCGAGCAAGGAGGCTAGAAATTAAACATTTTTCTCTTAGAAGAAAATAGAAATGGAATAATTATGTCAGTGACTTTGCACCTTTAACGCAGCTCAGGTTAAAAAGTCATTCAGAACAAGGAACTCATGAAACACTATGCTAAGTGGATGACCCTAGAGGACATTATGCTGAGTGAAATATCTGTCATAAAAGGACAAATATTGCATAGTGCCACTGTCGTAAAACAGGACTGACTTTGGGGTTGAGGGAAGACAGAGAAGAAGGGGAGAAATGATGTATACTGCACTGAAACAGATGAGGGAGAAAACTGTTTAAAAGGGATATATGATTGGATATTATTGTCATGACAGGAGCCCAGAATGAAGGCTGCACAGTGGAGTGGACTTGGGGGGAGGGACTGCATAATAATGAAAGAGTTTTTCTTTTTCTTTTCAAGAAGAAAAGTGAAACAAGAGTCCACAATTAAGGCTGCATAGTGGAATGTACTTGGGGCGGTAGGAGGGGTGCAGGGGGATTGTGTACCAGGGAGGGAGTGTTTCTTTTACTTTTGAAAGAGAGGAGCGAACTGGGGGGAAGGGCAGGGAGAGAAGCGCAGCAATGAATGAATGGAAATCCAAAATCTCTATAAATGCTCATTAAAATTATTTTTTTAAAAAAGAAGAAAAGTGAATTGGGGGTAGGGGGTGTGCAGGGAGAAAAGTGCAAAAATGAATGACTGGAAACCGTAAGTCTCTATAAACCGTCATTAAAATTAATTTTAAAAAATAAAAAAAGTCAGGCATCAAGAGAAACATGATCAATTCTAAATCCCCAGGGCGCAAAGAGAACCATCACCTGCTTCACCAAGAAGGTGCCTTCCCCACAGCAGAGCCACGTCCCTTCACTTACGTGCCACAGTCCCTTCCTGGTGAATTTCTCCATGACACATTGCCACACTTCTGCCGAGAACCCACATGTGAAAATGCGATCAAAGCAGGACGCGAAACTTTTTAAAACAGCAGCATCACCTGAAAGAAAGGGCCACAGTTAAGAAATTATCATTTGAAGCAAGTACAGAAATATTGAGGGGGAATCTTCCGATTGGGGCCACACATTCAACTCAATACCATCAAGTCAACCTCAACTCCCAGAGATCCCTTCCCCCATCAGGTTCCTAAGACCAGCAAATCTCAGCGGGAGGAGACTGTCCAACTGTCCTGTAGGAACCGCCAGTGGATCCCAATCCATGGTCAGAGCCATGAGGTCACAGGTGACGGAGCTCTTTAGACGACACAGTCAACGGTAAGTTAAACATAGCAGAAAAGTAGCAATTTTCAAAGCAGAAAGTCCGAGAGGATTGCCTAACAAAGTACCCCGTTAAGTTTACCCTTAAAATTGATCTTCTATTACACATCCATGTTTATTGCAGCTTTGTTCACAATAGTAAAGAGCTGGAAACAACCCAAGTGCCACCAACAAACGAATGGATAGAGAAGCTCTGGTAGGTTCATACAATGGAATATTATGCTGCATTGAAAAACAAGGAACTCATGAAATATTATTCAAAATAGGTGACCCTGGAGGACATTATGCTAAGTGAAATACCTGTCACTCAAGAGGATAAATACTGCATAGTGCCACTGTTGTAAAACGGGTCTGATATTGAGGTTGGGGGGAGACTGAGAACGATGGGATAAATGACGTATACTACATTGAAATAGATGAGGGAGAGAACTGTTTAAAAGGGATATGTGATTAGGTGTGATTGTCATAACAGGAGTCCAGAACGAAGGCTGCACAGTGGAGTGGACTTGGGGGGAGGGATTGAATAACAATGAAAGAATTTTTCTTTTACTTTTCAAGGACAAGAGTGAACTAGGGGGCGGGGGCAGGGAGAAAAGTGCAACAATGAATGAATGGAAATCCTAAGTCTTTGTAAACTTTCATTAAAATTAATTAAAAAAATCAATCTCCTAAGAATCAGATGTGTGATTTGCTGCTCCTGAAAACCCACTAGAGGGTCAGCGATGGGTCAGTTCTAAGTCGGCGACACACAACGGCAACAATCATAGGACGAAATGTCAGCTAAGCATTCATTCAGCTTTTCTATTTACAAAGGACAGCAAATGATATGCTCTAGGTATTAACCCCTTAAACGAACCAGGGCCCACTGGCCCCATGTACAGAAGGGGATCTTGCTGTGTCATGACTGACCCTCCAGTGGGTTTTCTTAAATGGAACAGAAGGAGACTGACTGACTGACTGACTGACTGACTGTCCATCTTCCTCCTGCAGAGCTAGTGGATTCGAACTGCTTGCCTTCGGGTTGACAGGGCAATGCATTACCACTAGGACACCAGACCTCCCTTTTACAAAGGAGGAAGAGGAAGCTTAAGTTATAAAACTTATTTCCTTTATGAAAAATGTGACAAGTTATTACTGTTATATGAAACTATAACAAGTGATGACGGGCTTCCTTGCAGGTCATGCCAAATTCATGGCCAAACCACAGGTGGAACGCATCTGTCACCTCTTTTGGTCCATACATAGTCTTCTATCCAGCAGGCCCTCGAGCTAGCCCAAACAGGCGTTGCTGCGAGGGACTGTCGATCCCAGATGAACTCACAGCAGCCCCAGGTGCCCGAGCAGAACTGACTCAGAATTTTCTAGGCTGGGATCTGAAATTAACAGAGGACAAAGTCTTCCTCCACAGACTTCCTGGAGGTGTTCGAACTGCTAACGTTTTTGTTAACAGCTGACTGTTTGGCTCTTATGCCAGCAAGGCTCCTTCCCAAATCAAGTATTCTGGTAAAACAAAACAAAATATATATATATATATATATATATATATACACACCACATTCATTCCTCTAAAAAGTCCCGTTAACTGTCTCCTGTTCAGGGTGAGAGAAGAATCGAAATTATTAGGTTATCTTCAAGGCAACCCTGGTAGCTGTCCCAACAAAGCACATGGTTTGAATCCACCAGCTCCTCTGTGAGAAACAGATGGGCAACCTCGTCTCCTGTGATTTATAACCTCTGAAAACCCTCAGGAGTCAGTTCCCACTTGACAGCACCTTACAACAACAGGTTACATTAAGGGGACCGTCACCGAGGTGCAGAGGGGACAGGGAGGAAGCTGAGGGAACCAGCTGAGCGAGCCTGGAGCTTAGGAGGTCAGCGTGGGTGACTGTCACCAAAGCGCTGACAAGGGCTGTGACCCCTCAGCACCATTCTAGAGGCTTCCACAGCTGTACCACGTTAACAGATCCCCACTCCAGTGAAAAAGGCAACTCCCCAGTCACGGTTTGCTGGGGGCTTTTGGTTGTTGGGTTGAGTATTTTACAGTTTTTTCATCTTTGGTATAAATAGGGAAACCTCTACACTCAGCAACCAGGGAAACTGGGGAAAGTAATTTACAGAGAAGAACTTTATGTAATGTATGCAAAAGAACATAGTGTTTTTCACAGAGGCCACTGACATTTCCAAAATGCTTCCTAAGGTGCAAACTGGCCTTATTCAAACTACACAAAAGAGTCACAGTGGAAATCTCCTCCACAGTGAAATTATCTCCTCAGAAGTCTGAGGCCCTCAGTTGGCCATTCAAATAAAGTAACTGCCCCTCCAGAAAAATGCCAAACCAGCTACTGTCACGTTGATTCTGACTCCTGAAACCGATTCTGACCCCTGACACTGATTCTGACTCCTGACGACTGTGTTAAGGCGGTGACCTTTCAAAGCAGAGTCCCAGGGTTTTCGTCTAAGGTGCCACCAGGTGAACTCAAAACTTTTGACATTTCAGGCAGCAGTCAAGCTTAACCCCCAACTCTTGCTCCACCCCAGGGAGCCGTTTCAAATGAAACGGCGAGGATTTTAGGGGGTGGGGGAAAGACACATCTGCAGCTGCACGTACTGTCCATGGTGGTGACGATTGCAACGAGAAAATCCGAAATCTGGCCGTAGTCCTGACTGTGCTGCATGAGCTTCAGACCCTCGAAAAACAAGCGAGCCGCTTCATGTGGCTGGAACAGACGGAGTAAGGCGTAGCCGGCTCGGTAATAGCCCTGCGGAGGGGAAAGGAAAGCTGTGACATGCCGAATCTCTTCCACCCGGCTGCTAAAATGAAACCCAAAAGCTAACGGCCCAGGGCAGGGGAAACCCAGCTCTCCAACCAGCACTGGACATGCGATGTCCATTCACAGCCCAGGCCACATTGTTTTATTATTCTTTTAGCCACCTGGAAAGTTACCCACGTCCAATCCATGACATACATGCCACATTTAACATACGACACAGAGAAGGAAGTCAAACCACTCATTTTCTGTGTGATCCGTTTAGGTATGCGCTGAATAATCACAGGAATGAAAAACCCTTCAAATAGGGTGTCTGAACACAGAATGAGTGTCTGTACACACGAAGCGCTTTTTCCTGCTCTTTTCAATCAACAGAAATATCACTGAGTATGGATGAAAAAATTGCAATGACAGGTATTGACAGTGACTGAGCTCCACATTACAGGCAAAGTATATTGTTGTTGTTGAGAGCCTCTGAGTCGGAGCTGACCCTCAGCTGAGCCTTCAGCAGGTTTTCAGAGGCAGTAACTCCCATGGGAGGAGACTGCCCGAAAGTATACTAGAAGCAAAAAACCTGCAAAACTCTGTAACAGAAGGATTATATAAAATAAAAAAGATTAGTAAAGTGGTTAGTATAGCCTGTTTACAATCCACAGTACCTTCAAGTTCAAGTAAGAATAAAATTGTTATTTCCTTGTCCACTTTAACCAGGCAAATCAGCACCAATGATCTAGCAAGGCAGTTGTATCTCTATGGTAGCAAAAGGCATAAACCAAGAGGATTCATTAGAAAGTATGGAAACATTGGACAGGAGGGGTGGGCAACAATGAATGAAGGGAAATCCTAAGTCTCTGAAAACTTTCATTTAAAGTAATTTAAAAAAATGTAAAAAAAGAAAATACGGAAACATTCCACTTGATACCAAATTTCCTGTGAATGATTATCTGAAAAACCTACAGAACATGTACACATTCACTCAAATAAAAAGACATCTTTAAGTATACAGAATCTCTGTTTAGTAATTCATTATCTAAGGGTCTAAACACCTCAAAAACAAAACAAAAAATCAACCAGAATGTTGGGTTTGGGGTTTTATTTTGCTTTTGCCCAATGAGGGAAGTTGGAAGCTATTTTTTCACGTTCCTCAGATTTATGTTTCCTGATGTTTCCTGTTTCACTTGGGTAGGGGGCTGGCTCGAAGGGAGCAGGGTTGGAACGGATACCCCACAGCTCTGGGTAGCTGAGGGGGCCGCCCTAGTTGCTATGTGGTCTCTTTCAGCTTCAGAATGGCTACGTGAACTCGTCTCATCTTGCAGGCAAGCTTTTCCTCTCCCCAGCTGGACTGTGAGGTACTCGGAGCTGGCTGGGGTCTTCTTCGGCTCCTTCTGTTTACCTCTGAGGCGCCAGGAAGATTCATTACGCCTTGCAGAATGTTTAGCCAAGGCATTTTAGCTGGAAAACAAATCATCACATGGGCATATATTGGCCTTTACTGGCAAAATTCAAGGCTCTGATTCCTACTGTTAAGCAACGTTTTCAAAAAAAGTCAACGTGATGGTGTCCACCAACTTTCACGTGGAACCAAGCTTTGCTAACGTGACAAGGACACACAGCGGGGACCCTAAGCAGGCCGTGCGCTGTGGTGGGGCCACCTCAGGACAGAAGGGGCTTCGTGCTCCGCCGTCCGCCGACCTCTCACACCTCACTTCACTGCCCAGCCAAAAAAATCATTCTCTTCCTCTTCTCCGGAGAAGACTCATGAGGCCTGACCAGTACAGCTGCCCAAAGTGCAAGAAAAATTAAAAAAAAAAAAAGAGAGTTGCATGAGAAGCTCTCCTGCTATTTTCATTTTGAAAAGAAGGAAGAGAGGCAGGGGAAAAGGGGAGGAGGCAGGGGTGGCCGCCCCCGGTGGTCACCACACCATACCTTCACGTAGGTCGGATCCCACTGCAGACATTCCTTGGCAGTGGCAAAAGCCTCGTTAAATTTCCCAAGGCTGAAAAACGCGTTGGCTTTGTTACACAACAGCATAGCCAGTTCCCTCGGGGGGACCCTGTGAGAGAGAACAGGTGCTCTGTAACTCTATCGTTGGCCAAAGGCTGCAAACAATCTCTGAGGGGCGCCGTCCTGGTGCCACCACGAAGGGGGTTTCGGGAGCACACTCCTTCCATTTCCTCCCCCTGGGGCACGGACAACGGGTAAATCTGTCCTTCCTCACCCCCAACTCATCCCCACTCCTACCTTAGAATGACAAAGGTTCAAAACACCTTGCTTCCGCCTCCCACAGACCTCCACAGATCCTCCTCTTAAATGCTTAGAGACCACTGGAGGGGCTGCTCCTACGTCTGGAGGTTCCACTCAGCAGACGCAGCCCAATGGCTGCACATCCGTGCCCGTGTCAAACTGGCATAAAGCTTCTCCCAGGAAGGGGCCCAGTGCCTTCCTGGGCACTTGGTCACACCGCTCCATAGGCCTACAGCACTGAGAGGCCCAGGGGGCATAAATCAACACTTGAAAACTCTTCAATAAAAGTATACTCTAGCCTCCTATTATTTTAACAACTGGAACGTCTTTACAACTTTACAACTCAGACTTGTACTGTGAGAGGCACCGTTCCAAGTGCTAGCTCTCGGCCTTGGTCACCCCTCAGGACAGGCCCTGGAAGTGGGTACCATGGGCAGGAAACTGCACAGAGCCCTGTTAGCCACAGTCTGGACCAGAGGGCAGACTAGGGCCTCTAGGTGGGGAAGAGCCCTTGCCCCACAGACTCCTACCAGTGGGAAAGGACACAGCCTGGAGACAGTGCAAGTGGGGTCCTCTAAGTCACAGGGCCCAGGGCCCTCGAGCCTGGATCACAGTCCAACACTGCTACGAGGTGGCAAACAGGAAAACACAGGCTATGTTACATTACGATGTGCCAACAGACTGCGGAAGTCAGAACGCACAGGTGGGGAAAGTGAAGTCTACAACTTCTTCTTCATTTAGGCTTTTAACTTTGAAAAGAAGACAAATTGGGGAAAACTGAGTAAAGGCCAACAAAGCACAAAAATATAACAACATTTCTGAAAACCACCTCAGTTACCAGACCTGCTCTCAACGGTCACTGTGTGACCCATCACTCCCACAACGTGAAGGGATGAGCTCTGGGAAGCACACGGGGGCCAGCAAGGGGGACAGCGAGTGAATGAAAAGAGGACTGGACACAGGCTGGCTCCACTGTGCTTGGCTGACCCTTGGTCACTGAATTCATGCCCAGCTACAGTGAGTGCTGACCCCGGTTAAGGGCGACCAGCTGCCCCCTTCTCCACAGAATTGCTCTCAAACTAACTAGAAATGCTTTCTCTTCAGCAAATAGCACCTCATTCCCTAGGATAACCTCTGGGGTTGCTCAGCCCAAAACCAACAGAGGAATGACATAAGAAATGTAAGGTCAACACCTCTGCCCCCAAGAGGGATGGATCTGTGGTACATTTCATGTTCCAGAGCCTCGCTGTGGGTCAGCCAGGCTGCGGCCACCTCCCGCTGGGACCCCATCACTGCTTTGTGCCTCCTGGACTCCACCCTGGCTTATGTGACGCTATCTTCCCACAAACAGCACTCTCGCTTTCAGTACGCTGCTCACCACGTGCTGGAAATGTGAAGAAGCACTTCTGGGTTGATCAAGCTGCCCAAAGTGACACGGCTAGTGAGTGTTGGCGCTGAGATCTGAGCGCACAGATTAGTCTATGACCATGATCTCTTTACAAAAGGTGTGTCCTAGTGAGAATCTCTGAATCCATCTCTGACACAGTTCTGATGCCGGGAGGAGGCAAATGGAAAAACTACAGGCCCAAGTTAGCTAATTACACTCGACTCAGATTCAACTAGATGACAGGTAGTAAGGTGTGCCAGAATCAAGGTGTACCAGAATCACAGAGTGTCAGAATCAAGGTGTGCCGAATCAAGGTGTACCAGAGTCACGCACGGTCTACCAGAATCAAGGTGTACCAGAATTACAGTCTTCTAGGATTAAGGTGTGCTAAAAGGCAGCGGTGGACACCATGTCTGGGTTCTTTAATACGACACCATTTCCCAGGACAAGTATGGGTGTCATGCACCTCACATAATGTTCACTTCCTCTATTATGACAACTCCCAAGGTATGATGTGATGGGGTGAGGGGACCCAAAACCATTTTAAGTCATCCACATAATTAAAAAGCTTTTATAGTTGTAGTGGGCTGAGGAATGACCCCGAAATATACCCAAATTCTAACCTCCATGAATGTTATGAATGTTACTTTTTCTGGCAAATGGGACTTCCAGGTGTGATGAGGGTAAGGATTTTGAGATGGGGAGATTATCCTGCACTATAATAAAATCACAAGAGGAAGAAGTAATGAAATGACAGATGTAGACGTAACAGTGAGGTACGCGTGTGATCTGACAAGGGACGGAGGGGCCACAAGCCAAGGAATACAAGCAGCTTCCAGGCATCAAGAGAAGAAACCAATAAAATGAAGTCTCTCCCAAGAGCTTCAAGAGTCAGTACCATCCTCCCAACAGCCTGATGTTAGCCCAATGAAACAGAGTTCATACTTGTCACCTCCACAGCGGTCAATTAATGAACTTGTGTTGTCTGGGTCACTAAATATATAAGAATGTGTTCGGGGACAACAAGGAACTAGTAATCCAAAAATCGCTGTTATGCTATAATGTGCTGTCAATTCAACTAAGACTCACAGCATCCTTCGGAACAACAGATCAATCTCAGTCTTCCTCAAACCCATTGCCGTGATCACTGGAACGCCATCTCACTGAGTCTTCTCTCTTGCCCTGACTTTTCCAAACAATACAAAACAATTCTAAACCATCAGGTGCCTTTTCACACTCATTCTCGCATGTGAAGGGTATAAGGGAGGTTCTCAGAGGCAACAGAGTATGTGATATCACAAAGGAACGTGAAAAGTCAACTGCTTTCAACTGGGGCAGAGATTAGAGAGAGTTGTAAAAATAAAAACAATGCCATTTTTCTCACCATTTTCTTTTCTTTTTTTTGTTCCGAAGTCAGTTTTCATAAAAATTTGTTACAGAATTGGTTTACTAATGATTTTACGGATAAACACATTTTAACATTTTTCTCAATTGCTCTGTATTGATACAAATATGGCAGACTCAACTCCAGCTCACTGTGACCTAAAAGGTAAGTGCAGAACTGGCCCAAGGTGTCTCTGAGGGCGTGCATCTTCTCAGAAGCAGACGGGCACCTCTTTGCCCAGTGGAGCTGGCTTTTGTTCTTGTGCAGTATCATTGAGTCAAAACTGACTCACAGCTGACCCTCCAGTGAATTTTCAGAGGCAGTAAATCCCCAGAGAGGAGACTGTCTGTCTTTCTCTTGTGAAGCAGCAGGTGGATTCGAACTACGCGTCTTTGGGCTGGCAACACAGCTCTTTACTAGGTCACCACCAGAGCTGCGTCGTGGAGCAGCAGGTGGATTTAAACCACCAACCCTGAGGTGCGTTGCCAAATATTTTAACCACCGCGCTACACTGACAGCTACAACCAAGCAACTATAAAACAGCATTCTTTAGCATTCTCGATCATTTCAGAGGAAAACAAACCCACAATGTGAATGAAGAGCAACAACTCTATTACAAATTCAACGGGCAGAGGAGAAGCAGGTGACCCTCAGTGCTCAGGTGGGGTGACCTGTGGCCAGGTAAAGGGTCTGCACTGTCAAGAAGATGAACTGAACGACCGCAGGAGCTTGAAGTCTTCGCTCAGTCATCTCAACGACCCTGGACCCTGAACCAGACAGAGGGAGGGGGCGGCCTGTCAAGTGTGTCAACAGCCCTTGGTGTTTCTGTTTGCCCTCTTAAGGGATACTCCTCATTGTGCGGTGTCTGGGAGACGAGAAATAGGAAACTAGAGAGGGAGAGAGTGCACAGACAGAAGACCAGATGAGACGTGAAAAGAAAAAATAAGCAACAGAGTTCTCCAGCTGCTAAGCGGGGTGGGGGAGAAAGGGGGGGAAAGTAGGGGAGGAACCGTGAACACTTACCCCCACTGTTTTAACTGCAGGAGAATCTGGATGGCTTCATCATACTTTCTGATGGCCAAAGAGAAGTTTCCATTCTTAAAGCCCTGGTTGCCAGATTCTTTCAACAACTCAGCGTAAACTTTCAGATCCATCCTGTGAGGAGACGGAAAGGCTCGCTGCCAGGCCCCCGGGTTCACATCTGCATCGCTGGTTTGGGTCTGGGGACACAGCTGGCTGGCTCTGGCCACACCCACCAGGGAGTGCACATCCTGGCCCCACCCCTTGTCCACCCAGGGAGGGGGGTGGTGACCAGACCCTGCATCGGACCAGACTCCATCTGTCTCAGTTCTCTCTGCCCCAGGGACAGTCAGACACCAACACCACTTTTCCAGTCTCTACTCTCCGAGAGGCATTTAGCAAGACTGTGTCCGTGCACGCGGCGACCTCACCTGGCAGGTGAGGAGGGCGGGGATGTGGCAGATGTCCCTCTAACTGGCACTTTTACTATTTTCCTTTTTATCCATCACCACGACCGGTTTGGATGAGGGCTCTGAAGCGCAAAAGAGGTTCAGGTCATTGGCCCGAGGATCTGCGAAAGAATTCCCTGGTTCTGAGCCCAGCGCTGGCCAAGTCGAAGCTTCTGCTCCTGCCAACTCTATCACATCATCTTTTCATACAAACCGAAGTTGTCTCTCTTGGACAGAGACTGGGAGAGGGAAAGTATCGTTCTGAAACTCTCTTTATATAAAGGTCTTTCCTACTGAACCAACCCACAGCTCACCTTCCATCAGATTTTCAGACGTACAGAAGGAAACCACCCACCTTTCAAGCTGTTGGTGGATTTGAACTGCTACAAGAGGCACCACCGACGACGGGTCAGTAGCTTAACTCCCGACCCACTAGACCACCAGTGAGGACACTGAAAAGGTGACCTAGTAGCCCAGTGGTCAGGCACTCAGCCAGTGGACACAGAGACGCACCCCCTCCCTCACCTGCCCATTCATTCTTAACACATTTTTACATCTTTTCTCATAGAGCGTTTACAATGTCATTGCCGCTGATGTATACGTGTCTCTCGAAATATCTGCCTCTTTCAGGTCATAACCTCCGTTTTATTGAGTTTTGTAGCCTTCTAGGGCAAACAACGACATAGGAGCTCTTGGGGGGCTAGTGGGAAGGAGCTGAGCTGCCATCACAAAGGCACAAGGTTCAAATCCAACCAGCTGCTCCACAGGAAGAAAGACTGCAAATCCTCCTGTGCGATTAAAACTGCTTCCAAAAACCCGCTGGAAGGCTTCATTCAGCTCGACAATACAGAACAACAATAGCTAGCACAGGGGAGCTCTGGTGGCATAGTTGTAAGCTGGTGTACTGCCAATCTAAAGGTACATGGTTCGAATCTAACAGCTGCTCCATGGAAAAATAGAAAGGAAATCTCTTGTACAATTTACTGCCCTGAAAACTCACTGGAGGGTTAGCTATGTTGCTGCTGTAATTAGGTGCCCTCGAGTTGAGTACAACACCTTAGTCATCCTGTGAACAATAGATCAGAACCCTGTCCTGGCCCGAACTGTCCTCACACTCTTCTGACCACCAGAGTCCACTGAGGCAGTCACTGTGTCAATCCTCCTGGTAGAGGGTCTCTTTTGATGACCCTCCACCTTTCCAAGGATAAGTTAGCTATGAGTCAGTTCCAATTCAATGGCACACAACAATAACAATAGTTAGGATATTTTTTTTAAAAATTAATAAAAAATAGCCTTTCTACGCAGATGGCGCCGAAAGTGAAGAAGGAAGCCCCTGCCTCTCCCAAAACTGAAGCCAAAGCAAAGACATTGAAGGCCAAGAAGTTAGTCCTGAAGGGTGTCCACAGCCAAAAAAAAGAAAAAATCTGCACGTCACCCACATTCCAGTGGCCTAAGACGCTGAGACTCCGACGGCAGCCCAAATACCCCCGGAAGAGCGCCCCCAGGAGAAACAAGCTTGACCACTATGCCACCATCAAATTTCCCCTGACCACTGAGTCAGCTATGAAGAAGATAGAAGATAACAGCACACTTGTGTTCATTGTGGATGTCAAGGCCAATAAGCACCAAATTAAACAAGCTGTAAAGAAGCTCTATGACACTGATGTGGCCAAGGTCAACACTTTGATTAGGCCTGATGGAGAGAAGAAGGCCTGTGTTCGACTTGCTCCTGACTATGATGCTTTGGGTGTTGCCAACAAAATTGGGATCATCTAAACTGAGTTCACCTGGCTAATTCTAAATGTAATAAATTTTTCTCACCATAAAAAAAAATTAATAAAAAATAGTCCCTTTTGAGTCCATTCTGACTCATGGTGACCACTTGTGTTTCAGAGTAGAACAAGTTTCCATAGAATTTTAAGTGGCAGGATCTTCCAGGAGAAGATCGCCAAGCCTTTCCTCTGAGGTGTTACCAGAAAATTAAAATGCAAGCATCATTATTAAAAAAAAAAGCATCATTTTTGTTGTTGTTGTTGTTGCTGTTGTTGTTGGTTGATTGATTGCCTTCGAGTCGAACACAACTCATAGCGACTCTATGAACAAAAGGCCCGAAGCCCCTCTACAACTATCGACATTTATCAAAGTTCATAGTTTCCAGAGGCGTGTTGTTTAGGAAGTGGATGGCACTCCTGCTTGAAATTAGGGGGAAAATAATTATACCACCTGTTGAGAACTGTCGTATGCTGCTTGCAGGCGGGATATACCACATCACGACAGATTTAGCTTTAAGGATATGCACCACAGGAGGAAAAAGATGGGAATGACTCTAAATTAAGAAGTAAATCAAAAGGCTGAGACAAAGGCAAAAATATCGAATGCACCCACATCAGTTACAGAGCATCGACAGTCAGACAGCGTGCGGCTTTTTTAAAATATCAAATTGCAAATGAGTAAGTAAAAAGGTAAACTTGTAAATGGAAAAACATCAGCTTCACGAAAAGGGTGTAAAACTCAAAATTTAAGTTTTATGTACATAAAGTATATATTAGATATCCAAAAATGCTAGCAGCCATGCCCGGACAATCGAGCAGGGTTTTCCTTTTCCTCCTCCTCCTTTCCTGCTTTTTCCAATTGTTCAGCAATGCGCCCCCATCCGTGTTATTAAAATGAGAATGTTTCAGAATTTAGTTGAAGAATTCAAAATCCAAAATGTTTCCATTGTATTTACAAAAATCTGTTCACTTTAGGTTTTTGTCTTGTTTTTTCACCCCCTACTCCTCTATAAACCAATAGCAAGGTCCTAATGTTATGTGGACAAACACCAAATGTATCCAACAGCCTGTTTTCGGCTGTTTCTTGGTGCAGTAACATCAAAGGGGTGAAAGGGCTTGCCAACTACAAGGAAGGCTTTTTGCTTTTCTAACAGGATTCACTGGGTTGCACACTCATTATAAGGAAGAATGCTTTATACCTCTGCCCTGCAACACATGGGGCTCAGCTGTTGAGTCTTAAACAAAAAAAAAATAAAGGAGAATGCTTGTAAGTTGACATTGTTAAGTACAACTGGGAATAATTACCACAATGACAATATCCTTAAAGGCAAAAAAAAAATAAATAAAAATGCACTGCTTAGCTCGTCTGACAAGTATGTCACTGCACTGTTTAAGTCTTACAAGAGGTAAGGCAGACACGACTGTCTCCGTTTTACACAGAAGGAAATGGAGGCAACAATAAGTCGCTCAGAAAGTAGTAGCCTTGGAATTCAAACCTTGGTGGTAATGACATCAAGAGGTAAATCGAAAAAAGTCAGTACCTAGCAAACTCACCGCCCTGTGTGACCTTTTTGGCTGGGATGGGCACGTTCTTGCTCGCGCATGCTTGGGTCTGTTAATGACACGAAACCTCAAAGATAAGTCTCAGAGACACACATGGGTGGCCTCTGGCCAGTTTTACTCAGTCCCCATGAAAATCCAAAGTCCAGTTGTTGGGAGCTGTCACCAGCTGTCCCCAGAGGAAGGGGAGGGGGGGATGCAAACACACCAAGATTTTCAAACAGGCAATCCACCGAGTAGAAATAACCAGGCTGTTGTGGATTTTACTCCTCTGTGCGTGCACACGTGACATTTTGGGTTTGATTTACAGGATTTAAAGAAAACCCAGCAAATAAAATAGCTCCTGTTGTCAACCGTGGAGCTGGAACCAACCCCCAAGTTGACCCTCCAGGGGGTTTTCAGAAGCAGTAAATCACGCAGGAGGAGACTGCCCATCCTTCTCATGCAGAGCAGCTGGTGGACCAAGCCATGGCCCTTTGAATTGGCAGCACAATTCCTTACCACTAGGCAAGCAGGAGGGAGCCCTGGTGGCCTGATGGCCTTGTGGCAAGAAGCTGCCCTGCAATCCCGAACAGCTTCCCTGTTTCAAGGTGGTTCTGATTCATGTGCACATCCAGGAAATTACAGTCAAGATATTAACAACTTGCAAAGCTATGCTTCGTTCCAGTTCTTCTGGCAAGATAGTAATTCAGGTCCCCAGGCCTCTTGTCCACGTTACACGCAGTGGTTGGAAAATAATGTTTGTGATAATGAGACAAAAATTAAACATGTATACATGCATCAAACATGTATTTCAGGTTACAGTCAAATCTTCAAAAACTCTACACCAGTATCGACCATGCAGTCCTCGCAGAAAGATACATAGTAGAGATCCAACACGTCCTAATCTTTCTCTTTCACTGTTTTTAAACTGAGGTAATATACACAGTACTTTACGGAAGATGTGAAGTTAAAGCAATTTTTAGACTCATGTAATGCTGTGTCAATAAATTCTTTCCAAGCTCAAGAAGGAGCACTTTTCCCTCTTCCTGGTCTATACCCACCTCCACCCACATCACTACAAGGGAGCTCTGGTGGCTTAGTGGCAAGAAGTTACACTGCAATCCCAAAGGCAGGCAGTTCAAGGCTACCAGCTGCTCTGTGGGAGAAGGTTGAGCAATCTCCTCCCGTGTGATTAACAGCGTCTGAAAACCCATTAGAGGGTCAGCTATGGGTCAGTTCTGACTCAAAGGTACACAACAACAACAAGGTATATTAAGGCCCACAAAACCCTAAGACCTTCCAAGTTTGTGGTGGTTGCTGTTATGTGCCGTCCAGTCATTTGCGACTCATAGCAACCCTATGAACAAGAGCCCTAAAACCTGCTCTATCCTGTGCTAACCCCACTGTCTCTGACACACCTACTCCCACCACCCCAAT